TTGTTGTTGTTGTTGTTGTTGTAATTATTGGATGGCATTGTATAGTTAACTGTGCATGCTACTATCCATTATTTTGACATTTAGATTACCTTTGCCATCATCTGACATTCATGTCAAGTTAATCTTTAAAAACACTAATAATTTAATAACACTGGTAAATGTAATTTTTAGAAAATGAATATTAATTTGTCATTCTGTGCATAAATTTGTCACAATGCTGTGAGGCCTACATTCACACAGCATTTAAAATAATATGTTTTAGTGTGTAGTGCTTTATTTTATTAATTTTTTTTATTTTTTATTTAGACAAAATGTACATTTTTATATCAGCCATTTATCAGTCACCGGCCATAACATGAAAATTATAATTACCGGCTCATCGGTATTGGCCAGAATTTAAATAATTGATTCATCCCTAGTTATACAGTTTACATTTTACCATTTCATCAGGGACTTTTCTGCATTCTAATATACAGTATACTGAACGCTGATCAGTCATAACATTAAAACCATGGACATGTAAAATGAATAACATTGATTAAATCATTACAGTGCCACATGTCAAGGGGTGGGATAAATTAGGCACCAAGTGAACAGTCAGTTCTTGAAATAAATGTGTTGGAAGAAGGAACAATGGGCAAGCAAAAAGATGTTAGTAACTTTGACAAGGGCCAAATTGTGATGGCTAGATGACTGGGTCAGAGCATCTCCAAAATGTTCCTGGTATGCAGTGGTTGTACCTACAGGTACTAACCGGTCAGAGTCTTATGATGACCCATGTATACCATTGAAAACACCAATGGGCATGTGAGCGTCAGAAATGGACCATGGAGCAATGGAAGAAGGTCCCGTTTGTGTTGTATTCCTGCTGAAGAGATGGCAACAGGATGCACTATGGGAAGATGGCAGGCCGGCGAAGGCAGTGTTAGTTCTGGCTAATGTTCTGCTGGGAAACCATGGGTCCTGGTATTCATGAAGATGTTACTTTTACACGTACCACAGACCTAAAGATTGATTCAGACCATGTACACTCCTTCATGGCAATAGTGTTCCCTGATAGCAGTGGCCTCTTTCAGCGAGATGATGCACCCTGACGCACTGCAAAAATTTGTTCAGGAATGGTGTAGGAACATGACAAAGAGTTCAAGATGTTACTTTGGCCTCCAAATTCCCCAGATCTCAGTCCAGTTGAGCATCTATGACAGGGGTGTCAAACTCAATTCCTGGAGGGCCGGAGCCCTGCCCTGCTCCAACACACAAACCATGTAGTTTTCAAATAAGCCTGA